ACAACAGGCTACTAATATATATGAATCAAATGTAAGTCAGTCTTGCAACTGCCAGTCCGTGACCCCAGCCAAAACAAAGTTAAACAGGTTCAAAAGGCTGTCCCACGCTGTGGACAAGAACACATCCATATACCTTACGCAGTCCAATTTATACTTTCACTTAGTTTATTCGTAAAATCCAACATAAAGCCAATCGAATACATATTTCAGGACTATTGATTTTTTGGTCATTTTTATAGCTCCTACAAAGAACTTAATCATCTGGGAAAGTTTGCTTTGCAATCACTTCCTGAAATGGAATTTCCTCAGCACTCTAAGGTAGTTTAAAAAACATAGGTCACTGTGGTCTTGAACTTTCTGTTATGTGCTGACAGTCATGCTGGTGGTTGTCTGAAGCGTAGGTGCCTGCATGTGATTGTGCGTGTTTGCATTGACCACAAGGCCACTAATGGTGGATGTAGATGACAGTATTGTCATGGTAAGGACCACGGGGTTTCCTCGGTTATGTGCAGGAGGTCGCAAACAGATGTTGTTTTAAATGTGACTGCATGCCATCCTTCCAACCATGTAACCACAAATGGAAACATTTGTTCCTGTTTGTTCCTCTGTGATATAATGTATATCTCAATTCAAACATCTTCTGTCATATACAGGAGAAGCTGATTCAAGTGCTAAACTTTCCTCTGCCAAGGTTGGACCATCACACATTCGATTATCTCGTTCATATCGTAGAAATATTGAAGGAAAAAGCAAATCGGAAAAATAAAAGTTCCTTTATCCATCACTTAATCTGCATTCGATACAAAAGCTCAGGCCCCATCCCTCCCACAAGTTTGGTAGAAATTGGTTTCATAGTTTTTGCGCAATCCTGCTAACAAATAAACAATCCAACAGACATGGGTCCAAACGTAACCTCCTTGCTGTAGTTAACATTCTTATAACAGTAAAAACAAGGTTTTATGTGTATTGTTATAGCATATTGTGCACATATTTAGATATGCTAGTGAAGTCAGATCATCCTTTAGGGGAGTATTCATTCATTTTAATGACTGTAATGCCTTTTGAATTATTTAGTATACATTCATATTCTTCACATTACTAAAGTGATTTACCTTGGATATTGTTTACTGTTAATGTGCCTCACATTAAAGACTATGATACTAAATCAGTAGCCAGTCATTGTATTTTGTACATGTCCTCCTTTACGTTTTATTTCTGCAGACTCTGAGGGTCAACAAGTGGATTATTCATGAAGAACAGATGCACATTTATTTCCCAAAAGACAAACAAGCAGCGCAGCCTTGCGGATGCATTCAGAGTGAGTAGCGTGACTGTGAGCTGTGCTGAGTCGCTGTTGTTTCTTCACCATAGCACAAAACCTGCAGCTGAATGTAAGGAGGTCACACCTGCAACCTGAGGTCTGTGGAGCAGGTTATTGAGGCACAGGAGGAATGGAGAAAACATTAAGGATCATTACCAACAATCAATTGATCCGACTGTCAAGATAATCCCTTTTTAGAAGCCTGAGCAAGTATTTATTTGTAGTCTTGATCAAGACATCTATATCAGTTATCCACACCAGCTGACATGTTCTTCCATTATGATGAAGAATGAAACTGTAGCTTATTATTTAGTCCAGCCCCATATATACATACATTTAATATTTACTCTTTTTTGTAGCATTTACCTGTAGTGTTTACTCTGTGTTTTATTCTTATTCAAGGGCGGGTGTGGCTCAGGAGGAAGAGTGGATCGCACCCTAATATCTCAAGACTAGAAAGCATTACATAAATACTGACCATGTAGTGACCCATGAATCCTTAAAGGTACAATGTGTAGAATTTAGTGATATCTAGTGTTGAAGTTGCATGTTGCAGCTGAACACCCCTCACCTCACCCTCTCCTTCCAAACTTGAAAAAGAACCTGTGGTAGCTTCAGTTGTCATAAAAACACAAAAGGTGTTTGGTTTGTCCAGTGTGGACTAATGTACAAAAACATGGGGGCCTCCATAGAGAGAAACCCCTCCATGTAAATATAAAGTATTGGAATATAAAGAGCCTTTTCTAGGGTAAATAAAACTACAATCCATACAATTTAGATCAAATGAACTAGTGAAAACATAATGAGTATTATTCTACATTAAATCTCTACCAATAGTTCCTTTTCACCTAAATCTTACACACTGGACCTTTAAGTAACACATTGAAGCTGCAGAGACAGATAATTGGGAAATCACTGAAGGTCAGAATAAGCATTGTTGTTTTGGGTCTTTGAAATGTTTTGAATAACACAGAAAATTTGCTTTTGACCCCTGGGGACATATTCAATTTGATTTGAATGAATTAAATTGTATTTCTACAGCGCCACATCATAACAGACATTATCTCAAGTCACTTTAAATGGTAAGGTTGAGATGTTACTATATCATAATTAATTTACTTAATTATAACTTATTATTCCGCAATAGAAATTACCCCAACATTTTAAAATAATAGACCACTTGCAGATTAAGGATCAAACCAGATTAGTGCATCAGTGGGGATTTCTGTCTTCAAAGAACTGGGATCTGTATCACACAACAATTTGCTTGTTGTTCCCACATTGACATTCAAAATAGTGAAGTGATAAAAACAGAAACATTAAGGCTCAGACCAGATCATGTGACTGTGCTTTTTTACTATCACCTCAAAAGCCATTTCAGTTCTATGTTGAATTTCCAAAGAGGGGGGACTCTGTCTGCATCTTTAGAAATATGTAGATACTCAGAAAACAGGAACACAAGGTTCCTCTTTATTTGCTATTTTTACATATTTTTCACAAAGTGAGATCTGTCTGTCTCTAAAGAGAATCTGAATCACATCAGCAGCCAAATATAGAATCCTGACTTTGTGATTGACAGAAGTGAAAGTCTGAGTTAAACAAGACCATGCAGATTGTGTGTGTTGTGCTGTATAGCTGTTGTCAAGGTGGAAGGGGAATTCACATTACATGTAAATGCCACATGTTCCTATATAGTGTGAGACAGGAACTCACAGAGCTTACAACTGAATATCTACTGTTTGGCTCCAGCCTACACAAATGCTGACATTCAGACGCAGAAAGGGAAAATTTCCCCGTATCAGATTCAGATAACAGATTTTACCTCCTTTCGAGGTTTTTTGTGGTGGCTGATTTGGGTCCATTAATGGGAATCCCCTTTGGGTCCCATCTCACCTTTGACCCCAACTTTGTCCCCAAATTAATTTATACCCGAGTGTGGGAGAAAATCAATGAGATGAGTTGACATTGAACTGTGATTCAGAAAGAATCATTGGTAGGAAGTGGACTTGAACCAGGATTATGTGCCTGTATGTGTGTACTTTTACTTATATATTTGTCAGGACCATTTCAAGCATATAGACGGATTGGTTGGTCCTCAGTTTTTCAAAGGCTTGTTTTAGCGTTAACACGGTTAGGGTAAGAATAGGGTTAGGGTAAGGATTGGGCATTTAATTGTGATGGTTAACATTAGGTTAAGGGGCATGCAAATGAATTATGTAGTATCATCACTAAGATAAAAGTACAAGAATGTGTGTGTGTGTGTGTGTGTGTGTGTGTGTGTGTGTNTGTGTGTGTGTGTGTGTGTGTGTGTGTGTGTGTGTGTGTGTGTGTGTGTGTGTGTGTGTGTGTGTTTAAGGTTGAGGGATGAGACCAGACCAGCGTGATAGAAAGCCCAGCAGACTGCTAACACAAACACACTGTGGGGAGAGAAAGAGAAAAGATAGCTGAGGGCAGGGAGGTGGGGGAAGGACTGACAGAGGAGTGTTTCATGTCGGCTTTACGAGTGTGACTACTGTCATTAAGATGCTGATGCTGACCAGTATTGACAGGCCATGGGAGTGTTTACATTAGAGTCCATTATCAAGTTCGCTCAACAGGGAACAGATCCATATTTTGTCCTTCAGTCGCCCACACAACTATTCTCTCAGAGCAGAGACTTGGCCTGGCTGGAGATGAGAGGGTTTGTGGATAAGATCTGGATTTCAGATGTTTCACACACTTAGAAGAACGGGAAAAAAAGGAAAGATAGTTGAACCAACTTCAAAAAATTACTTCCATGTGGTAAAACATAAATAAATTAGGTTTGTTCTTCAATTCAACAAGTTATGCTAATACAATTGTTGTCTTTAATTTGTAAAAATGTCATTCATGTGTAAGTTGCCCATTCAAGACATTTTCTTAGTTAGTCCAACAACTTTCTGTTTTCAGTGATGGGATGTTTGTATCATTATCATAATTAAGAGTGACTACTAAGAGGGCACAGATGGGAAGGTGTCAAACCCCCAACCCTTACAAAATTCCCTTTTTTTCAAATTATGTGAATGAATGAGAGGCAAGGCGTAGCATGGCCCATCTCCAGGCTCCTGACTGTTTAGGCTTCGTGCCAAGCAAAACATGTCTGTTTTATGTGCTGGACTACGCCAAAGATGGTAGACTGTTGTGCCTGTTGTCCTTGCTTGTCTCTTGTTTTCCTCCGGCTTAAAGTGTTGAGTTGTTTAGTAAGACTTTTGGCTCCTGCTCAGCGGAGCAGCCGGAGAGGCGAGGTTACTCCATGTCATTGGAATCTATGTACAATGGACCCCCCCCACCACCCACCCACACACACACACACACAACTTCCCCCATCCTCCTTTAGCACCGGCTTGTGAACCCCTTCTGCAAGAGCTTTTACTGACCCCCCTCTTTTTCTCCCTTTTTACCCCATCATCCATCTACACATGCTTTTCCCCTCACCCCAACACACGCACATACACACACACACACACACACACACAGGAGCCCTCACAGTGCAGTGAAACGGCTCCCTGAAGAGACAATATAAACATTAGTGTTCAATTCAAGGCCATGGGTTCACTCGGAATGCACCGACCACCACTCCTTCTCTCCTCCTCTCTCTCTCCTTATTTGTCTCTCCTCCCTCCCTTTTTCACTCACACACACTCTCTCCCTCTCTGATACAGCGTCGTTGCCATGGCACCGCCTGCCTGAGTCACTATACAGCGGTGGAAGCTCGGCCACACTCCTGGCTTTCACTGTGGGATGTTCAGTCACTGCGCGCCGGTAGAGCTGTTCGGTACCCGTGCCAGTGTGTGCGTACACGTGTAGCTCGGCTCGGCTCGGCTCGGCTCGGCTCGGCTCGGCTCAGCTCAGCTCTGCTCTGTCCCGGGATGCTGAGGCGTCACCGTCACCTGTGAGAGGCCCAGGGGATCCGTCGCGGAAGCGGCCGGGGACACGTCGCACACCTGCGGCTGGATGGAAGTCGATGGAGCGACGCGAACCGCAGCCGCACTCCGCCGATTGCTTCACCTCCTCTCCTGGTCCACGGGGGAGCGCGCTTGTAAGCTGATTTGACCCGGGAATGTGAATACCTATCCGGGATTAGTGGGTTGTTATTGGGTGAACGAAAATGCCCCGCGGCTCCTCCGCCCGTCACTCGCGGCTATTGTTCGTGCAGCGGCGGACGCGCGGTACCCGGTCTCCCCTGGTTGTTCTCCAGTAGCTTCGCAGCCTCTGCCCCTGCGTCGGTGTCCCGGTGTGGATCGGAGGATAATATGACTTCCTGGCTCCGGCTCCCTCGGTGTCTCCTGCTCTGCTGCGTGGTGCTCGCTGTCTGCGCACAAACCTCCAGTGGTGCCGGTGAGTGAAGGCTCATTAGGGCCAATTAGGCGACATCATACACCAGCATTTAGCCTGCAACTGCTCCCAACCTCTTCTGAGCTCCCTGCTGAAGGGAGACATCTCCAAAACCTCCATTTAAAAGACTCCCATTTAGATCTAGGCAGCCTATATAGGAGCACACATGTTCAGGACTTTTCAAACAAATAGTCAAAAAAAATTTTAAACCATTAGAGCAGCCTATAAACCTATTTTCAGCATATATTGATCCATTAGAATTACAATCTAAATGCTTCACCTATTCAGGGGTTTGCCGGAGGCCAGGAGTGCTAATTGGGTCAGAGCTGCTTGTCAATGGGGGGTGTTTAATGATGCTGGAACCTGCAGCCTTTCTCTGTCCTACATTTTAGTCCCATAACTCACTGTAATGGCTCGCAAAAATCTGCAGTATAATTATTTTCCTGCTGATGTTAAGTATAAAGCAGTTTCACTCCAGTGATATTTGTCTGCATGTAGTCTGCACTTATTGACATAATTAATGTCTTCTGTGTGTTTGTGTGTGATTTTGGGTGTGTGTGGCTGTGGGAAATGATCCACTGCACTAATCAAACAACTCCAAGCACCTGTTCCCACACTCCCAGCCATTTGTCAACAACATGTCGTGCCTGATAGTCGCTGAAGAGCCTCCTGTGAGATGCAAAGTGGTGCTTCGATCATCAAAAGTGTGCATGAGATCTCTTAATATCCATGAGGCCCAGCCGCATGGCTAATGAGTGGTGACACACACACATTCTTTCATATGCTAATCACAGATCTCTTCTCTTCTCTTCTGTTCTTTTTTCTTCTCTTCAGGTGACAGTACTTGCAGGTCTCCTAGTATCACTACATGTACAGAGTGTCTCAGACGTGGACCACAGTGCGCATGGTGCTTCAAAGAGGTAGGGAAGTGTATAAAATGTCCGTGCGTGTGTGTGTGTGATGAACGTGGCAGACATTCAGCAGCATTCCTCAGATGACACACACTGAAGCTTTGATTCTGTCCACAGATGTGAATATAATGTGTATGTTTGAGCTTAGTGGCCGCCCCAGTGTCTGTGTGTGTGTGTTTGTGTGTGTGTGTGTTTGTGTGTGTGTTTGTGTGTGTGTGTGTGTGTGTGTGTTGGAGTGTGTGGGTGAACATTTCCAGCCGCCTGTGATGTTTTTGTATGCAATTGTCTGTGCTTTCTGAGTGTCTGTCTCATAAAAAGTCCATCCTGAATTAGCCTTGAGAAGCTGTAAAGCGTCCCAGACTCACACCACACACAAACACACAGGCACAACCTGTGGCTAGACAGGACTGCCAACATATGTGTGTGTGTGTGTGTGTGTGTGTGTGTGTTTGTGTGTGTGTGTGTGTGTGTGTGTGTGTGTGTGTGTGTTTACAGACTTCAGGTGGTTTCCCACCCTATGAACCCTAACCTTATCTGACATCATTAAGCAGGGCTGTGGTGCTCACTGGTGTGTGAAAGCATTCAGACACCCCCTCTCTAATCCCCTATACACACACACACACACGGAAAGTATAGAGCTCGTCAATGTGCATGCTCACACCCTTATTTAATGCCAGCTCAAGGGGCAAACTGTGTAAGGAAAGTCCCTGGAAGTGTATGTGGAACCTTCTGACAATCACAGTTGTAACAGAACAAATTATAGTCACAGGGACAAACACAAATACATTGAACTCAGCCAAGCATTCAGGTTCAGGATATGGTTACATTTTCAGCTACATTACATATACACAGCTTGCTCTTGGGCTATTTCTGTTTGTAATTCCAATTATTGGCCCCAATTTAGATCCTGTCTGTTTCATCTTGTTGCTCATGTCACACTTGTTTAAATGGACTCACCAACCAGGCCTGTGACACATAAACACACTCATATAATGGTCTACTTTTATGTTCAGCTATTGTGAATGTTTGTCACAGACTTAAGGACCAAAGGTCGACAATCCCCTGTAAAGCTGCGAAGCATGACACTAGTATTTTATTGTTGGAGCAGCTGGCTATTAGGCAGTGGTGAGGTCATCGGCTGTGTACCAAGATTTATTCAGCACATGGCTGATCAAATTATATCCTGTGTAAGAAAATAGTTAAGTGCCCCATCAAAACCAGATCCCTTATTTGCTCTAATTAGACCAATCCTATTTAATTTATTTATATAATCTGATCAGTTATATTTACTCTCTGGTGTTGTTTCTTCCGTGTAAAGCAGTTTATAACATTGTTACAAAAAAGTGCTGTAAATAAAGTAAATTAGTATTATTATTTTGTTTTATCTCTCTTCAGTGATCAGATGCACAGAGAGTAGATGGACAAAGATGAGTAAGCACACACAGGACAATCCTTCTTTCAATATTCTAAACTGATGAGTCAAAGTGTAATGGTTATGTCGTCATTGCAAATCAATACAAACATTGTAAAAATGACAGAAAGGGAAAATGAAACCATAGTGCTTAATGCTGTGTCTGTTTGTGTGAAATGAACCAATGTGTTTTCTAAAAGGTTTATCACTCCGTTCTCTGCAGAGACCAAAAATCACAAAATACAACCACCTGAAAGAAAATATGTTTTACTGGAGCAGTACAGGGAAATAGGAAAGTCAAATAGGAAAAGTAAACATGAGTATTATCACACATAAAAACAAAATATTTGAGTGATATACTGTGCATTCATAATGGTCATATATCTCTCTGCATCAGGAACAACGTGATTCATGTGTCCTAACTTCTGTCAAGCTGCTGTTTTGTCTTGTGTCTACTTTTCTATTTTCTCTTTTGTGAGTGTGTTTCTATTATTTGCATGATTTCTGTTCAAATACAACATATTAAGATCTGATCACAGTTTCAATGTGTGACCCCCAGAACTTTCAGGATGGGTTGTGGCCAGGCCATCGCTGCGACCTGCCAGTAAACCTGCTAAGAAGAGGTTGTGGACCGGAGCTCATGGAACAGTCAGAGGTCAAGGTGGAGGTCAACGCCACCATGGGCAGCACACAAGTGTCCCCAGCAGACATCAGCATCACCCTCACACCAGGTAGATCAGGGACAACAACATTTTCATCACATTCTCTTGATGCTGCAAAGGTAAAATTGACAGTTTTTACACAGTGTGTTTTATATCTGTGTGTATAGGTTCTGAGGCCAGCTTCATAGTGGCTGTGAAGCAGCTGGAGCGTTACCCTGTGGATCTATATTACCTGGTGGATGTATCAGCGTCTATGCAGGAAAACCTGGATCATGTAAGTGTTAAACCACTCAGCTGTTCATTTAAATCTTCCTCTCTTTTGCTCATATTCAGGTTTTAATCTGGGTTATTACTTGAAAGGGTTTACATGCTCTCCATTGCTGCAGCTCCTCTTGTCAGCGTCTATCTGAAGTTCTTGGGTTTAGCTCATCTGTCTTTGAGGCCCCCCTCCTGATAAAGACCTGCTTTGATTGGCCAGCAAGCCGACTCTGTTGTTATTGGCCAACCGCTTCCAGTGCATGTAGGAAATGTCAACAATCAATGCATGCTTTAACTGGCTTTGTTAGGGGCGTGCCAGACTAGCCACTAGGCTTGTATTATGCAAATGTAGGGCATCCTGATGCTGTGTGACGTCACATTGGTGTTTTCTGTGGAGGAAAGGAGCTCAATTTTAGTTTTGCAGAACCTTTGCATACAAAAAAAGTCTTTATGACACAAGGAGAGAAAATAATCTAAAGCATAATTTGTCTCCTTTAAATATTTAAGTGTTTCACTTATTTTTTTGGAGGAGAAAGTGTATGACACATCTAAACACTAATAATGACTTAGTGACAGATCACTGACGCTATGAGAGGACTGCTTTACATTTGACATGGAATAAACATTAGAAATGTGCAAAATGAGATTAATGTGCATGTACTTAAATTGAGGAATGTTACAAAAATAAATGGAGATGCCCATTTTGTAGTATCTATCTGATTTGTATCTTTTGTGATTATCCTCCTATGCACCTTCTTTTCTTACCATTATTTGGCTTTTCCGACTCCTGCGGTCCAGCTGAAGACGGTGGGTGTAGCTCTGTCTCTTCGTATGACGGAACACTCCTCGAGCCTTTGGCTGGGTTTCGGCTCGTTCGTGGACAAACCTGTCTCCCCTTACATTAATGTGCATCCCTCCAAGATCAACAACCCCTGCAGGTAAGACACAGGATTTGCTTGTTTATCGATTGCTGGGAAAAAGAGGGTTAATCCTTTCTATAGAGCTTTTTGTCAATGTTCTTTCCATCAATACAATAGACCTTCAACACTGTCCAAGCCTGATCTCTCATTTCTCAGGAACATCTTTCTTCTCTTAATCTAAGCAAGCTGCCCCCATATTCACTCCTAATTTGTTGTAACTCATGCAGGGAGACTCATCAGTTGTTGGGGGTAAGACTGTTATGATGATGATGACCTGTACTGGGAGACTGAAACAACACACAGGCTTCTGGCATTTGCTTACTCTGGTGGTTGTTTTGGAGCTCTGCATTCCTGAATGTTGCAGTTAAACTCCTTTTTCTGTTGTTGGACTCGCTCTGTCTCCCACCAGTGATTATGAGATCCACTGTCGTCCGGCCCACGGCTTCCACCACGTCCTCAGTATGACAGGAAACATGAGCGAGTTCACGCGCGTGATTAAACGCCAGCGCATCTCTGGGAACATGGACACACCTGAAGGGGGGCTGGATGCTATGTTGCAGGCTGCTGTCTGCCAGGTGTGTATCCACAGAGGTCAGGCTTAAAAGATCAAGGTGTGTCAAGCAAAAGTGACACAGAAATATCTTGAATATATTGAGAAAAATGGGAGGCAAGCCCATATATGGTAAAAGAGGCATTCTTTCTGGGAGAATGGTGACTCAGCATTCAATAGTGCTGCTAGAATCTACTATTTAATGAGAACACATCTGGGGTATGGAAGACTGACACACACACACACACACACACACACACACAGTCACAGTTGCTTATACTTTGGCTGCAGGGGGCCTTTGAGTCACAGCATGCAGGGGGCCCTGAGTAACCAGTCTGCAGGGAACACCACGGTGGTCATGAGGCTCGAAATAGACTCTCCATTATGTCAGGCTTACTTATGCGCTCACTGGGTTTCCTTAAATACACAGACATGCCCACACCGACCCAGTTTTCTCACAGGGTCGATGACGAGTCACAGACATAAAGCGGGAGACTCTGGCTGTTGGAAGAACCTCATCAGATTTTTCTTTTAATCCGGCTTTACAGTGAGAGCTGATCACCGAGAGAACTGATGTAGATCAGATGAGTAACATGTCTAAATGTGCACTTTCTTACCACATGTGTAAACTGTTTATATTACAAAGCGTGCACAAACAGTATTTTCCACATCAGCTTGTGTGAGTCTAGCATGAGTGCATGTGTGGGAATAAAGATGACGTGATTTGTAAAACCCCTCTCGTAAAGCAGAAAAGAGACAGAGATCTGCCACTGTGACTGGTTTGGTTAAGATATTAGTAAGTTTTAGCAGTTTAAGTCGCTCTCTGGTGAAAATCAAGATCGGTCACACATACAGTACATGAATCCAAATAAGCAGATATTGCAGCCAAAGTTCACAAAAGTTGAACTCTGCACAGAGCCACGCTGTGGATTTGCTTTGCCACAGAAAGTTAACAGTTTATAAGAAACTAATACCGTCACCTTGTGGGTGGAGCTCGATAGCTAGAGAAGGCAGAGCCATATTAGCATATTGATAGATTCCCATCCACGAAATGAGGATGGAAGCTTTGGAGTTACTTTTTTTTTAGGGGGTTTAATAAGCTACAGGAGTTTTATATTTACTGCTAAACATAAAATGACATGACTTCTTTTCTTTCTGCTTTCCCTTTAGCGGGCTGTAGGTTGGCGACCAGAGGCCAAGCGTCTGTTGCTCCTGATGACGGACCAGCCATCTCACCTGGCCCTGGATAGCCGGCTGGCAGGGATTGTCACCCCACACGATGGTCTGTGTCACCTGGAGAACAACGTCTACACAGGGAGCACCAGGATGGTGAGTGGACCTGTCAGGGCTGAGAAGTCAGGGTAAGGAAAGCTACACTGAGGAATGTGTAAAACAGACACAGTCAGTGACGAAGTGGAGGGAAAATCGCTTACTGTTGGTTTACTGGGGTTTTTATTTGTCGAAACCCTTCGGCTATATGCACAGTACTTCTTAAAGCTCAAGTGATCACACATGGACTGTGTACATTTCTGAGGGGAAATTGGTTTTGTGGACTTAGGTTTTATCACTTTCAGGTGATGTACCTAAATACAGTACATTAAACTTGAAGAGAAGGTTGAGCTTTATTTCAGTTCATTGTTTTTTCTTTCTCAGGACCATCCCAGTGTGGGTCAGTTGTCCGATAAGCTGCTTGAAAACTATATCTACTCCATCTTTGCTGTTGAGAAGCAGCAGTACCAGTGGTACGAGGTAATGTCTCCTACACTTCCACTTAACAACAAGTACCTTCATTTGTAGCAGGGACAATAACCTGAGGACAGCCGCTCAAAGATTCGAAGGTTTCCCTGCAACCTGTAAAAACCTGTTTCCTGCTCAAATTTATATCAAAAAATCCCTTTTGTTGAAGAGTTGGTATGAATCATAGACTGTATATTAAGATGGGCGACATGTCTCCACTTCTTCCCGCTATGTAGACATGAAGCCAAAACTTTCCTGGACACAAATGCTGGCCTCTTGTGCCCCAGACTTCATTCAGAGCAAGAGTGTGTGCAGTAGTGATCGGGGGATGGAGCCCCGGTAGCGACATTCTTCGCGAGTCAACCTCAGCTGTCAATCATGATGTTCCAGCTTGTTTTTATAGCAACAAATAACTAAATAAAACTAATATAATATCCTACTATTTAATGAGACCACATGATTCCATTTGACATGTATTTTGACTTTTTAGTTTCACCCATATCCCATCTGCTAACATGGAGGAGGCAGGATTTATGACCTATATTGCAGCCAGCCAGTGGCAGTTGAGAGGCTTTGGCTTCACTATTGTCGTCCTTCTTTAAATACAGTATATGCTCTGCACTTTCAGCTCTCTCCTTCAGGATCAAATATCACTTCATGAATAGCGTTAATATTAACTACTGCTACTGAGGTGTTTTTTTCTTTCACTGTTTTGAGGACTTAATATGACTTAATATAATACCATCAAATCATTTCTTTACCCTAATCTCCCTCTCCTTCTCTAGGAGTTGGTGCGTCTGCTCCCTGGTTCCTACCTGGGAAAGTTAGGCATCTTCCAGGCTTCAAACATAATCGAGCTGGTGGTGGCTACATACAAGGTACAGAGCACTACACCCCTTCTCCTCTTCCTCTGCAACTTAAGAGAATAACATCTTCCTTCCTTTAAGATCCCTTAGTTCTCCCACAGAATATTATCATACCACAACAAAGAGAGGAACAAGTAAAATGTTGGAGGAGTACAGAATCACAGCATGAGCTGAATTCATGATCCCACGCAGTACGGGTTGAAAAGTTTTTGAGGCATTAGTCCACTGATCTGCTAAGACAACATGAACTCAGTTTTCTTTGGTGCTCGTTGGATCTCGCAGGCTGACTCATAGCACATTCCTTTATGCAGAAGAGGATTCTGAATTAGTGATCATAATAATAATAATCCAGTATGTTTCTCCATGTGACAACAGCTCATTCTGTATATCCAGGAGTTTGTAGACACTTACACAACTTAAACCCACTGAAATTCTGAAGCTTTCAGTCACTGAAGCTGATAATGATACAAAAAAACAAAGATGAAAACAGGAGGTTAAGGACGGGTAAGGCCTTCTGTCCATTCGCAAGTGTGTGTGTGTGTGTGTTTGTGTGTGTGGGTGTGTGTGTGTGTGTGTGTGTGTGTGTGCACATTTGTGTGTGTGTGTGTGCACATTTGTGTGTGTGTGCACATTTGTGCAGTTGGCAGCAGCATAGGCTATAATCTTGCCTCGGGCACAGCGGTCCATTGTTTGCTTCGGGAATCTGCCGAATCCACAGATCCGGGTGCACAGCCACACTGACACACACACACACACACACACTCACTCACACAAGCAGCAGAGCCCGAACAGAAGCTTGCATTATAATAGCTATCAGATCCCCGTGGAAACCATGTGTCCTAATCATGGACGAATACAAAGATGCTATTTTTGGCCCCACCTCCTTGTTCCCATAAACCCCTGCTGTATGTCAGAATGAAAGCAGGACAATGAGGGCTTCCTGGGGACATGTGACAACTTTAATTAATCACAGTTTCAGTTTATTCAACCCTGCAGATTAAAATTTAAACTGCCACTGTTCTCCCTGCTCTATTTCATCCCATTCCCATGCATCCAGGATAAAACGCTGCAGGCTTTAAATAATTTCTTGGATGTCAGGTTATAGCTTTGATGTTGCATCTTCGTCTCTTTCACCCTCGCTCCTCACAGAGGCTGTTGTCAGAGGTTGCGGTGTCAGTTTCAGTGGAGGACGAGGCAGTCAGCAGGTACTGGGTGTCCGTGTCTCCTCTCTGTCCCAACGGGTCCACTGCCAAGGACCAGAGCTGCTCGGGAGTACAGCCTGGCCAGACGGTAAAGACACATACATACATTCAGTACACACACAATGAGTAAGACTTTATCTTAAGGTTAATCAGATTTACTTATACAGAAATCTTTGAGTGAAGATCCCAGAGAGGACATTTATTGGTTGGATTGGATTACTTTGACACACAGAGACTTCTCTGAGAGCTTTACGTGACGGACAAGATTTGGTAAATAATCCAAGTTGAGCGGATTACAGGCTGTATTTAAGAGGAAAACATTTTCACGTGATATTGTGACCTATTTCATCCTAAAATCCTTACTTTGCCTTATATAAGGGCCCTTATGGAAACAAATTCAAATGTAGAAACAATTTGCTGAACATCCACTGCAATCCCCTGATCCATTTATCCACCAAAAGAGGCATCCTGCATACTCTTCAGAGCTTTCTTGAAACTTCTCGGCAAAACACAGGAGCTTATTTGGTTGTAAGTGGAGCATTTTCACTACATTTCAAAATTTCCTCTCTGTTCACTCCCCAAACTGCCTGTGAGACTCCTCTCCTCCTTAACCTTTTGGGACTCTTAAACAGAGAGCTGCTGAATCACCGCTCCACAGTTAGTCCATTGTGCAAAGTGAGTTTGTGCAGCCTTTTAATCCCTGGGTGAATTATAGAAAGTACTCACACTTACCAGAATCGAGATAAAAATCAATCAAAAAGGCCTAATTGCTTGTTTAAAGCTTTGACACGCACAATTTTCCATGTAAACCACATCGACAGAATAATCATTCAAATTAAGTTACAGTCTGGTTCCTTATGCGGCTATTTGAGCCTTTAAGATTTTAGATTCCACAATGAGATGTAACATGTAATGTTGTTCCTTTAGATTTACAGCAGGAAATGACTGCTCCCCAAATGTGAAGCCTGGCGTCTTGATTTTCCCTGTTCTCTGGCTACAAAATATGTCATAAATCCTGTCTCCTCCATGTTAGCTGATTGGATATTGACCAAACTAAACAGTCAAAATGCCCATCAGAAAACTGTGTACTCTAATAGTGTTAATTCATCTTTTTTGGTTTTAGATTGGTTTTATGTCGTTATTTGATGCTATAAAAACTGGGTGAAATGTCATGATTGACAGCTGAGACTGACTCACGATTGGTCAAGCACGTGTCTTGTGAGATCTGGCCACCATCGCTCCATTTCAAATACAGTCTGTGATGCAAACACATGATAACATTGCTAACATGCCGATGATAAAATGGTATTATCTCCAAATTACAGTATGTATACATTACAAAATGTATATATAGTGTATATTGACAAGAATAGTGGTAGCTGGTATTCACATCTTTGTCTTCCCGCTCAGGTTTACTTCAATATCACTATCGGCCTGCGCTCTTGTCCTGACGATGGCGAAGATGAAGACATACGGGTCATGGTTCATCCTATGGGTTACAATGAATCCACTGTCGTTAGGATTCACTCTAAATGTCGCTGCAGTTGTGGACCGACAATGCGCTGTCATGACGACAGCCAATCAGCGTGCACAGGCACCCAGGACGGCGCCAATCAGGAGCAGAGGCCAGACGACAGAGATTCAAACTGGAAATGCAGAGCTGATGGATCTGATGTGGACTGCAGTGGTCGGGGAGAATGTGACTGCGGGAGGTGTGTGTGTGAACAGAGCAGGCTCGGAACAGTATATGGGAAATACTGCGAGAGGGACGACTTCTCCTGCCCATATGAAGGGGGACTTCTGTGTGGGGGTGAGGGGGACACACTTATGTCAAGATATTAAAAAGTACTAATATGAGCACTTTTGATGACAAAGGCTGCATTTTTTAATCCGCGCTTTCCCTCCTGTCTGTGTTTGTCCCCTCTCAGGACGGGGTGTGTGCGTCTCAGGTGAATGTCTGTGTGACGACGGTTGGACTGGTGAAATCTGCGGTTGTCCTGTCTCCACAACAACCTGCCAATCATCCAACGGCTTGCTATGCAGCGGGCAGGGAAGATGCGTGTGCGGCAAGTGTGTGTGTGACGACCTCCGGTACTCTGGGGACTTCTGTGAGAAATGCCCTGCTTGCCAAATCACCTGCCAATCATATGGGTACTTGTCCATTTCTGTTCCCCTCCACAAAGCATGATGGGAGCTTTTACAGAGATTTTGTATTTGAAGGTGACACACTGTGTTGTCTGTTTACTCCAGGAGTTGTGCAGGCTGCCACTCTTCACATGCTCTTGCACAGAAAGAGGCAGGGTCCTGCAACAATACCTGTGCACCACTGAAGGGCTACATGGATAATATGTCAGGTAAAACCAGTTTAGCCAGTATGATCTGATAATCATAGACTGGTCTGATCCAGCTTCACATGAGCACAGGACCAGGTGTAACACACACACACAAACACACATATGCTTTCATTCAAGGTCACTTCCGTTGCTACCACTGTTGCACTACTGCACCCTGGTGTATTTGAGTCAGCAAGACGGCTGTCAGTGTTACAGCTGTATTTTACATTTCCCCTCAGTTCCCAGTTCACTCTCTTGATTTAAACATCTACACACACACACACACACACACACACACACACACAATTTAAAACCCACTAGTACACACACATGCCCTGGGTTATACACACACATTATTGCACATCCAAGTGTTACAGTTCATCCCCGCCTTCCCAATTTTTGGAACAGCACTCCTCATTGTCCCCCACTCCACCCCCTTACTTCCCCCCAAGCTCACCGCCCCCCTACAGCCAACGGGACACTCTCTTCCTGCTCACGCCCACCCCTCCTGGGTGCTGCGGGAGCCAGGTCTCCATGGTAACCATGTTACAAAATGACAGAGCGGTCTTTGGGCTCTTTGTGCAGAGCAATGAGCCCGTCATCCGCACATGCTCTACAGCAGATACACAGCGTGCTAACCATTCAGCACAGCACCCCCTGGCACAGCAGCCACTGAGGCACAGATGCTGATGTACAATTGTGTTTATTTTGTCTCCTCTGGCCCGTTAATCATCTCATGGCACCTCACATTTATCTGGTCCCCCTCAGGAGGGTGCCTGACCAACAAACTATATATAAAGTAGTTGATGCACATTTCAACCAGACCAGCTAAATGAATAGTCACATCTTTATCAACAACTTAATAATTATATGTTTAGCAATATTCTGTATGTGACATTATTCGAGTCCATTTTTCTACATAACAAACACTTTGACTCTTGATAATCGACGCACATTCACTTTAAATATGTGTGGGATATATTATATATAGTATTTTTAAATTATTGAATCAATGTACTGTTGTTATTATCACTGCTGGTACCAGTGCTGCTGTTCTTTGTCTATCTATTAAGTTTTAGACGATGAGAGTGAAGATATTTTTAGTTAAGGAGAACACCTCGTCCTTCACTGTCTTCAAAGTGCTGTTTGAGGATTAAAACTTCAGTGTGTGGATGGGGTCACAAGGAATCTCTGCACCTACCATTTGAATTTCAAATGCACATTTCAGTGTGTATCTTAAAGTAACGTATGTGTTTCTGTGTCCAGATTGCTAATGACCTTATTAATGTGTGTCTTCACAGAGTGTATGAGCAGCAGCCGGTTGGTGGGAACATTCCTCAGCGTGTGTGCACTGACGGTGCTCTGCGGGCTGGTGGTGGTGGCCGTGTCCCGCTTGCTTCTACAGAGAAAACACAGCTTGTCAAAAGGGGGCGCTGCTGAGGCCGGAGTTTATCACTGCACTGGAAAGGTTAGCTCTGGAGGTTTTTAATTAAGCGAGGGGAGCCCCCTAGCTGCTTAAGGGACCATCTAAATTCTCTAAATAGTTTCTCTAAAGTGAACTGTCCGCTAGAAACAGGACAGAAATCTGAGAGCGTCGTTGAAGGTACAGCTGTATTTCATATTTCCTCTCAAATCCCAGCTCAACATCTCCAGCATCCAGATTTGTGACTTTACAATGATGTACAGCACCTTTGAGAAGGAGGAGAAGATGGAAATTTGAACAAGAGCGAGCTTTCTGGTGACGTGTTTGCCTAAACTTGTTTGTTGTGTTTTTAAGTGTTTTAAGTGGAAACTCCTCAGTTATTGTTCCCTGCAGATCATCTTAATGAGCCCACAGATCATAGACCTGTCACGTTACAGTGTTTCCACTGTAACGTTACCCTCTCAGGGGACATGTGCCTCATATTTTGAGCTGAAAGTTGTAAAACTCTTCACTCAGGCATCATATAATGTAACAAATGATCACCATCTATTTCTCAGGTTGAATGTTTAGGAAATCCACTTAATATAAAGGAGCACTACAGTGATCTTATGTCAGATTCAATGTACGAGTCCCTGTGACGGCTACACAGTGTGGCTCTGGAGTCTCAAAAAAAATGTATATCCAAGTGAAAGCTATTTTTTAATCCTGGTTTGTGCATCTGGTTTTTGAGAACATCTGAGAATGTAATGGATATACTTTTAATATTGTCAGTGCACAGTATTTTTAGTTCTCACAATATCCTCAAGCCATCGTACAACCACCTCGAGTTGTCATATGATTAAGTTATAAACACAGAAACCTTTTCCGACTCGCCCTCCATAAATGCAGCTTTGTGAAAATATTCCATTAAGTTGCATTGTGGGAATTGTAGGACTCTGTCTTCATGGACTATAGGTTTGCATTGATTTTTATGACTTGTCTTCAAAAACCAAGTCCTCATAACATAAATCATTAAATTCTAAGACATGTTTTCAGGTTAAGTTAAGTTTAGATAAAGGTTGAGGTTTAGGTTGAGGTAAGGGTAAAGGTTAGGGTGAGGCAAGTAGTAACTATGGTTAAGGTTAGAGCAAGTCTCCAAAAATCCAAGTCGATGTAAAGTCCTCTGAAGTGATGCAGGCACGAATGGATTTGTGTGTTCATGTGTGTGTGTGTGTGTGTGTGTGTGTGTGTGTGTGTGTGTGTGTGTGTGTGTGATTATTACTGACACCATATTTCTGTCACCCTCCAGGACCTGTCCTACATTCCAACAACCAATGAGAAGACAGTTACCTACAGGAGGGACCAGCCACCTGACCGCCCTGTGGAGATGCACATTCAGGTTCCCAAGATGCCCCTGGGTGACCCCTGGCAGTACTAGGCCGAGGTCAGAGGTCATGGGTCAGAGGGAAGGCGTGTAGAAGGAGAGTTGAACTAAAAGGCTTCTTTTCTGTCTCTGAACCTTCAAAAAACTTCAACCAGCTCTATGTAGAGACACTGATAATGGTTAAAAACTCAAAACTGTCCAAAGTCTCTTCGACTGTGTGACTAGCATGGCCAGTATTCAGGAGATGGAGATGAATCAACGAGCACAAGTCCCCCGACCTCTTCTTCCTCTGTAGCAGCAGCGAGGCTTCTTCTTCTTCTTTAGGCTACAGGACGATCAGTTCGTACTTTCTTAGCCCCTAATCTCCCAATTACTGCTCAAATTTATGGGCCCATGTGTGTTTGTGTGTGTGTGTGTGTGTGTGTGTGTGTGTGTGTGTGTGTGTGTGTGTGTGTGTGTGTGT